AGAAAATTTCTATCTAATCATCCACGGGTCCAACCGAGTATTTGAATCTACCCTGTCGGGCCCCACGTTGGGCGCCACTTATGAAAATTTCTTTAATCATTTAATAAAATTATCTTTTTAATTATAATATTATTATAACTGTAACGTGTAACGCTCGTCTACGCTAGACGGACAGGAGGGGCGATCTGCAAAGGCGGGGCACGCTTTAAATGTTCCGGCTCTAGCTCGTCGGCTTTGGGGTGGTGGTTCTTGCGCGTACAGATCGTCTCCATTTAGCAACACTATCACGCGATAATTTTAACGATTTATTTTCCTAAGAATTGAGCGTGCTGCGACTATACGGTGCTAGAACTACCGGTAGAACGACAAAAAGATAAAAGAAACACTCTGTAAAGAATAGGGGAGAGTGCAGAAGAGAAGGGAGGAGAAGATGAGGGAGAGAGAGAGAGAGAGAAAGTAGAAAGAGAGTGAAGAGTGAGGGAAAGAGGAGGAGATATCGGTTGCTATCCCACGGATGTCAGTGTGGTAGCTTATTTTGCCCACCCAACCTATGACCATCTTCCTCAAAACCGGAAGGTTCAGATGGCCCCTTTAGCTAGATCGCGGTTACACGCACGCCGGCACAGAGTTCATCCTTTTGTATCTTTATCTAAATTCCATTATATATTTGTTCGAAAAACGGTTAAAACTAATATATTCAGCGATGGAATATTTTTCTAATTCTAGAGATCTACAGCGAGTATATGTATATGAGAGATTCTGAGGCGTATATAAAGTGATATGAGGTGGAGTTAATAATTAAGGTGTATCTTAAGGTTAGCAGGTTATTCCTGGCACAAATTCATTTAAATTTTCTTTTAATTCGGTTGCTTGTATACAACTGGCAGTATAGGATATAGTGAGGAAAGTGTAAGATTGTTGCTATTCATTAGCGATTTTATCGTAAATTCGTTTCTTATTTTCTTTTCGAGAGCTTAGGATTGGGCGCGCCCACTAGAACCAAACGAAAGTCGCAGGATTTTACTCACGCAGTTAGGTTTCTCCATCGGCGAAAGATCGATCTTCCGGCGACTGCTGAAATAGAACGTTATCCTTTTTCTTTCGTTTACATTAGTGCTTTCGAGACCTTTGATTTCCCTCAGGCGGGGTTAGTTCTAAATCCAATAAATTTCTGTTTTGTTTCGGGTGCTTTTTAGATTTCTTACAATTTCCTCTAAATTCTTTCCAATATTTCATATAAATTCTTAATTCGAACGGGTACAACTAGTATTTAAAGCTAAATCTTAGGAACTTCATTTGTTTGTTCAAAGAAACGATTCTAGAGTCTTATTCATGGGTTCGAGTCTCTGTCGGATTCGACGGAATGGCCTAACTAATATTTAAGCTAAATTTTAGGAACTTCATTTGTTTGCTCAAAGGAGCGATTCTATAGTCTTGTTCATTGGTTCGAGTCTCTGGCGGATTCGACCGGATGGCCTGCAGCTCAATTACTTTTCTAACTGGGTTTGGCGAATCGCATCGGACTGCCTGCCAAGGAGAGGATAGGCGGAACTGAAATCAGGTGTCCGAAGAGCGTATTTATTAATTTTAATTCTGCTGGGCTGCTCTCGGGCCGTAACTTTCTTTAACACCGGCTTTACTGCGCCATTTTTGAAACACGGACCGAGATCTGGATTCTACATCGACAAAACTCTATTAATACAGGGGTCTGTTGAAGCGGGAACGGTAGATTGTATTTTCTTTGAAAGTCTTTAGAACATTAACCGTTGCAGGGCTCGAATGCGCCTGGTTTTGCCAGCACAAACTCCTCGCCGGGCGACATGGGCGCCGGTTGGGGACGGGGAGCGGCCGACGGAACGAGAATCTCAGCCCACGAGCAGTGGACGCGGTCTCGGTTACGGATCGCTTGTTGATGCGGCACGTGGAATCTACGGAGCCTCTCGGCGGATCCGGGAAAACGATAAACCAGTATGCTGACGCCTGCGATTTCCAGGCGGGTCGAAGTACTCCACTTTGCTGGTCACTTTTTGGTGCCGCAAACGTGGGGTGCCTTACGGCGCCTTAGCACGGGTCGCGCTAGGCTGGGGCGCGTAAGGCGGCGTCTTCCCGAGGAGCTGGTCCACAATTTCCGCAGGAAATCTTTTGCTGCGGAAAATACGAGTTACCTCTATTAGATATTCGCCCGGAGAACGGGGATCGACATTTATCTTACCGCAGTGGCAGCGGTATCCGTGGATGTACACAGATTAATCCAGCCTCTGGCGGTTCTCTGGGTTAGAACGCCCACAGAAGAGGTTGCTCCCGCAGAAAACGGCTACACTTATAAACCTTCCGGTACTGTACACACTTTCGACTTTATTTAGTGGAATTAGGCGCGGATGGCAAACTTTTCACTGATTGGGAAAACACGACTCGTCGGCTTGATTATCGCACAGGAAAAGATCGAAGCCGGAAACCTGCTCTGGCCACTTGACATTTGCATGCACTTTTGCATGGGGAGGTTACGCCCTCTAGGTTGTCAAATTGGAGCAACCCTGACCTCGGCTGATTTCGATAATTGTCAATCTTGCGGTCAGCTGCCCAGGCAGCTGATCGGCAGGCACCTCCCAACACTTACAAAGTCGATTCATGCCCCCTACAATATGTTCCGTCGAAAGTGGGTAGCGACAACCTTGGTAACGATGACTTCACTGGCGGTGGGTGGTAGTCCGGCGCAACAACGCTGGCGATCAGATCTCCTCCCATTTTTTCCTTTATGGCTAGCTTGATTGCTGTGTATGTATCCTCCAAATCTGCCCGTCCTTCATCATTCGGACTAAGGTCTTCAATATTAGCTTGGACATTTAAAACATTCTTGAAATACGTTTCTAAGATGTTCAACCGATAGCGAAGCTCATCATTGCATATCGGGGTTTCCGATTTAGCATCTACCACAGATTTGATCCGAGTTATATTTCGTTTTATATTGCTCCGTTGGCGTTTTAAGTCTTCGAGCGTCGTCATTTTGTTGTGTAGTGTAATTACGCTGACACAGAACTAGAGCTTCCAAAAATAACAACAACAAAAAACGCAGCAAGCAGCAGCAGCTAGAGCACAAATCCAACGGTGAAAGCAAAAGCAAAAGTTCCAGCAGCGGCAACGAAAGCAAAACGAAAGTGAAGCGGTGGAATTCCAATAGAAAGAATGCGTTGATCGATGGACCAAAGCAGGTAGCTGCAAAGCGAACGAACCGAGAATGCAAGCGCCGTTGAATGCGTTGTGGGTGACAAGCGAATGATAAAATTAATCGAGAACGGCGAGAGCAAGGCGAGGACAACGATCCCGCGATCTAGACGAACAATTCTGATACGGTTTTCGGAACTTTCGATTGCAGCTGCGAGACGAGCGAATGTTGTAATTGTTGCCTTTGTAGATTGCGATTAGTTTAATTGTTCACAGAAGAATTAACATAACACACATGCCCCATGTTGGGCGCCAAAATGTTTGTACACGGAGCGTTTTCCGCATTAATGTTAATTCACGGATGGGGGTGTGTTAGTTTTTTCTGCAAACGAATCAAAGTCTATACAAGAAAGAGAAAAGTCGATCGATCCAGTTGAGTATTAGGGAATAACTATTTATTAAAAATCTTAGTGCTTGAGTACTGGGCATAAGAGAGAGAATACAGTGGTGAATTTAGTACAATTATGGTGAGAGTAAATACAAAAAGTGAACGTAGGCTCTCTATTTTACGAAAGTCATTTGAATACTTGTTCCTTAAAGAAGTTTGACCGAACAATGGCTATATCGACTCGGCCAGTAATTCTGATCAATAAAATATATACCTTGGTCTTATACACATCCACTTGCAGCACAAATCTAAAGTACTCCTATGCTCTTTTAGAATAGCGTATAAAACTGCGTTGTAGTGATTGCGCACTGGGCATCTACAGTGCCAATATTTAAAAAATTATTCGGTTAAAAAAATATGCGTACAATTTTTTTTTTAAGTTTAATATTATTTTAGCTTACATGATTACAGACAAAAAAAAATACAAATATGTACAACAGTCTAGGAAAAAAGTCAGTTATACCTGTAGATATATCGAGCCATTTTTTTACGATCTTTTACGTTCCTTTAAATTTTTTTATACCCAATACTCAAAATGAGTTTCCGGCTCCATAAAGTATAAACATCTATTGTGATCAGAGTCAATACCCGTGTCTGTCCGTCCCTATAAGCGCATAGCGCATATAGTCAAAGACTATAAGAGCTAGAGCAACGACATTTTATATCCGGATATGTCACTGTTACAAGTATATTTCAAAACCCCGCCCACTTCCGCCCTCACAAAGGGCGAAAATCTGTGGCATCCACAATTTCAAAGATACGAGAAAACCAGAATCGTAGAGACTGTCCATATCTTCTAGACTGCAGAATCTGAGTTGGATCGTATCATTATTATAGTCAGAATTAAGAAAACAATATCATTTTTCCTCGCCCTGTCTCTCTCTAACACACACGTATCATAGCTGACTTTGCTTAGCGCAAAACATTAGCGCCTAGATCTCAGAGACTATAAAATCTAGAGAAACCAAATTTTTCATCCACACTCCTGTGATATCGCACCGTCACAAGTGTATTTCAAAATTTCGCCACTCCCGTATTAATGATGAAAATCTATGTCATCAACAATTTTGAAGAATGACCATATATATCAGATTGCCGAATCTGGATCATATCGAATCATCAGTATAACTAAAAGGAACCAATCAGTACCCTACAAATTCTGACTGATTTTCTGTCTCTTTCTCATACAGTCTTTATAGTAGCCACATTGAATAAGTATTGGGTAGGAATGTAGAGTTGTGACCGTAGCAGCAACTCAACGTTCCCCTCATTTATTCGAAATTTTTGTTTGTAAGTGAAGGTTCATTTATAAGACTGCTTCTTTAGTGATCCTTCATTGCTCCTAAAAAATAATAAATATTTCAAAATAACTGTATAATTTTTATTTTAGGTGTTCCCTATGTCAGTTCTTTGGACTTGCATATTACGACAGAATATATGAACAAAACTTATAAATCGTGCTCCCAGGTATGTTAAAACCAAGAAAATTATTGAACGCTTAAATCATTGGATCAATGAAGTATGTTCACCAGAAAAACTTTTTCAGTACTTAGTGATGGATTTCACTACATTTCCGCTGTATACCCAACCGACTTTTTCTGATAGATTTGCGACTTTAAAAATAATTCATAATTTTTTTTTTTTTGTTTTTCAAGGGTGTTTCTTTCTAAAAAATTTTTTAAATTGTTATATTCGTTGTTTGCGTATTGTTTTTTATTTGGTGAAAATAGATGGGATGAATAGGGCGTGTCGGGTCAAGCAGCATTTTTTGTTAAAGATCACTACCCACTGTAAAGATCATTTGTTACCGCATATGCATATGAAGCAGAATTCTTTCGTCTCCTTATATCTCAATATCTCGTACTCGGCTTAGCAGCTCTAACGCTCTCGGGCTATCCTACTCTCTCGCTCGCGTCTATTCTTGCTGCATAGGGCCCGCCATTTTTTTTAAAGTCTTGAGCTAATCGTCGCAGCTATTAGATTAACATCCTCGCATCATTCGTTCGCCCAATCACCCCCATATGTACATACGCAATAAGTTGGTTTACATATGCAAATAAATTTTGAATTATATACATACAACCTTTCGACTTTCATTAAATTCAAATTGCAACAGTTATTAAAAACGCTTAATAGCTGTCTGTCTATCCGTCCCTATGAGCGCGTAGTGCTCAGAGACTATAAGCGCTAGAGAAAAGACACTATGCATCCACACTTCTGTGATATGTCACTGCTACAAGTGTATTTCAAAACTTCGCCCCGCCCCAACAAAAGACGAAAATCTGTGGCACCCACAATTGAAGATACTAGAAAATTAAAAACGCACAATCATAAAGAATAACCATATCTACCAGATTGCAGAATCTGGATCAGATCGGATAATTTTTTTTAGCCAAAAGTAACAAATCAATTTTTGGCTCGGCAACACGTGCTGACTGATTTTTTTTCTCTCTCGCACACGCTCTCTTTGTCGTGTCTGGCGGAGGAGAGCTTTACTGACTATGTATCAGCAACTGTCAACGTTAACAATCAATTTAAAAAAAAAAAGTAAAAAATATATACAATTCTCGTGTCACAAGCTTTATTGCTAAACTCCTTCGTAATGGCCTTACCGATTTTGTGTTAATTTTGTGTGCTTATCGCGCCAATCTGAGCCAATAGCAATGTAATGTAAATGTGGACACATAAAATTCAAAGAAAAATATTTAATTGAATACAAGTTTTTCTTACACATATGAAATCCCAGTAGGCCGAAACAAAAATTTGGTCCTGGGGTTTGAATATTGGAAGCGAAAACATCTAAAAGAATGTTAATCGAAAGCACATAAAATTTCAAGAAAATCGGTCGAGTCATTTCGGAGAAGTTCAATAACAAACATTGTAACCCGAGAATTCAATATATTTGAGCAATGTCAATAAGACGCAGAGGGGCCAATTTCAGTCGTCAAACGATCAAGTCTGGAAAAATGCGAGATATAAAATTAAAAATTTCAGGTGAGCTGGCGCTGTTACGTGAATCACAATCGCAAGAGGCCCGAAATGAGCAAAATCAACAAAGGCAAATGAACGGAGAGTAACGCGCAGATACATAATCGAAAGACGTAGACCAACAACGCAAACAATTTCATCGAGCATTTACATACAATTTATTTTTTCGACTAGCATTCCACTAGGAGCCTGATTTTAAATATTACGCTTGGGGTGTGTTGTTCATCAGGAACAGTACAAACAACCAAAATTGAAACACCATCTGAACCATAGTTCACCATAGTTTACTTGCCGGTACAGATCCAGATTCTAGCATGTTTTTGAAGTTAATTCGCACATTCAATTCCTGTTTCCAAATGAGTTTATAAATTCATTAGATGTGCCAGGCAAACCACAACATTTACAATTGAAGGTTGGATCTGCGATCATTCTGAGATCCGGATTAACCAAGAATATTGTACACTCTATTGCGCTGAGAGATCAATCTTTACTCTTAAGTAATATTATAATTGATACTTAAATCCTCCCATACTTATAGTATATAATTATTTGCACTGAACTGAAAAAATTTTTCCTAGAAATAATATACAACGTTTGCCGGGTCACCTAGTAAATCTATAAAAAACGAGGGAAAACGTTGTGAGTTGCTGCTGCCCCCGCAACTCTACATTTATACCCGATACATAGTCAGCGTGGCTACATTGAGCGACAAAGAGTGCGTGGGAGAGAGACAGAAAACGTGTCTGAACGTGTCGTCGGGCGCTGCGTAGCCACTGAAAATTTATTTGTTTCGTTTGGGTATAAAAATTATCCGATCTGATCCAGATTCGGCAATCTGGTAGATATGGTCGTTCTCTGGTCGATTGTGCGTTTTTAGTTTTCTCGAACCTTCGATATTGTGTATGCCACAGATTTTCGTCCTTTAAGGGGGCGGAAAGGGGCAGGGCCAAATTTTGAGATATACGTTTTATAGTGAGATCAAACAAGAGTGTGGATACCAAATTTGGTTACTCTAGCCTTAATAGTCTCTGAGATTTGTGGATGCCTCAGATTATCGTCCTTTGCGGGGGCGGAAGGGGGTGTGGCGAAATTTGGACACAAAACGGTCAAGGTCCGATATCACAGGAGTGTGGATACCAAATTTGGTTGCTCTAGCTTTTATAGTCTCTGAGATCCTTGAACTCATATTTTGCAATAAAGAGAGACAGAGCGAGAGAGAATGAAATTTTTTTCTCGATTCTGGCTATTATAATTATACGATCTGGTTCAGATTTTGCATTCTAGAAGATATAGTCAACCTCTACGATTCTGCGTTTTCTGTTTTCTCGTATCTTTAAAATTGTGGATGCTACAGATTTTCGAACTTTGTGGGTGCGGAAGTGGGCGGGGCAAAGTCTTGAAATATACCTGTAACAGTGACATATCACAGAAGTCCGGATATAAAATGTCGTTGCTCTAGCTCTTGTAGTCTTTGAGCACTGGGCGCTGATAGGGACGGACAGACAGACAAGGCTCAATCGACTCGGCTATTGATGCTGATCAAGAATATATATACATTATGGGGTCAGAAACGATTCCTTCTGGACGTTACACACATCCATTTACACCACAAAACTAATATACCCAAATGCTCATTTTGAGTATCGGGTATAAAAAGGAGAAGTCAACCTCAGTCCAATTTCCATAGATAAGTACGACTCTTCGGTGTGCCAACTTGTGTGCAGTTATTTGTGCGAGTGGTCGCCTCCAAGCTCTACCTCTAGATCCGAATTAAATAATATTTGTTTCTGCCAACTGTTGTGGCCTCCTAAAAGCTCAATTTGATCCGAAATATCTCCTATGGTCCGCCTATATATACAGTGGCGAGCACGTATAGATACATGTTCAACTTTCCACCAATTGGAGCAGCCAAACACTGTCGGGCTTCCACCTAGTGCTTTATTGTTTCCTTGAACTGATGATATTTTAGCTTTCCACTTGGGCGGTTCCAGTGGTTTTCATTTCTATCAGGCTGGAAACGGTTTCTTTTGGTATCATCTGACCAAATTACCTTCTTCCAATCTTCCCTAGTCCAGTTGCTGTGCCCCTCGCTAAATTTAAGACACGCAGCAATTTCTGTCAGACAGGGTAGGTTTTTTCTGGTTAACAGCCGCTGTCAGACCGGTAGTGTGCAGAGCGTCCACTCATGGAACGTTGTCCAATTGGTTAAATCGATGGTATAATGATGAAAGAATATTGTCTTCATATTTTGGAAAACAATTTGTCAAATTTTATAGACAAATATGTAATATTGTTGACCCATATTGGAGAATACTTTCAAGCAAGACGGTAACCCGAAGCTCACGGCTAAAATCGTGAAAAATCGTCTCAATAGCGCAGATCTAAAAAAAAACATTGAAAAAGTACGAGTCTGCTCCAGAGCGATTGGATGAGTTTTGGGAACGCATGCTGTCGGAGTGGAGCATGATACGTCGAGAGTACGAGAACGACGACGGTGGCTAACAGAACATGATCAGATGGATGCTGGAATATATTAGCTTGCTGCGAGGAGGGCGACAATGCAACCATGGCGGTATGATTTGGCTGCGGCTCAATTGAAGAAACAGTACGCAGGAAATGCAGAAGAGTGTGGTGCTTCGATTTGCAAGTAAGGCAGAGACCTGATTTACAATCTTTCACGTGATGACCCTTTCGTTGGCAATTGACGCATAACAAGAGCCTCTTCGCTTCCTTGTGACGATCATTCGGCGATAGAGTTTTGAACCGTTGATTATTGGTAATCATATGATTCGTGCCCTCACACAACACACAGGAAACACGAGCGCAGGAACGATACAAACTATTTTCGATGATGCGTACTCACGGTTTTCCTCGACTTTCCAACCTGACCATCTTGCCATTGCATGGAGTGATGAATTCCTTCAAGGGTACGACATCTCTGCCTGTCCAAATTCTTCCAGAGTGCGTGGACAATGATGCAATCAAATATTACCTCCTTAGTAGCCATCGTTTACAACGCGCGAAGATGTGAGATGGCACCCGCAAATGCTGTAACTTCTCGATAGAAGTCAGCTCAGCTTCACTATCAATAACAGCTGTGAACATGGAATGTATAGTCTCCGCTGAACTTGGGTAGCGCGATCCATTGGAAATATCCATAATGGATTGGGACTTTTTATGTATGTATAGCCAAAGACGCATGCTCGCGATTGTGTATATTGTCACGGGCAACACATTATTTATGCGTGTACTCAATTCAAGGCTCTTGATGTTGTGGATTGCCGCACGTTCGCAATGGATAATAATTTGTGCTTCAATTGTCTAAGCCGATCTCATCAATTAAATAGGTGTAATTCCATAAACATGTGCCGTCTGTGTAAGTTGAGGAACCACACTCTTGTCCATCCTGAGGATATACGCTCTGTCCCGGTTTCCGCTGCTGTCAATACATCCGCTGACTCAACCTTCCGCTCGTCCAAGTTCGCTGCGGATGCTGATCCTGCCGTGGTCAGCCACCATGCATTGGAGAGGGAATTCGGTGCCAATGGTCACGCTATATTGCCAACGATTTTGGCCACTATAGTCGACTCCAGGGGCAACGAGACAACCTGCAGGATACTGCTGGATACTGGTTCAACTATAACGATGGTCGCCGAATCATTTATTCAACGAATCGGATTGCCGCGCACGCATGCTCATATACCAGTGGTTGGTCTAGGCGCAAAACCCTGCTGGGGTTACAGGGAGGTCGCGCCACATTCACGTTGCTCTCCCGCACAAGCTCAGCCTCAGTGGTGGTCACAGGTCTGATTATGAACACTTTAACCTCCTCGATTCCAGCCTAGCGGATCGAGTCGAACACACCGATGTGGAAAAGGATTCGTGATCTACTCTTAGCGGACCCTACATTTGGTAAACCAGGCGAAATCGACGTGATTTTAGGAGCTGATCAGCTTTGGAACATTTACACTGGACAACGCAAAGAGTTTGGCCTAGAATATGCTATTGCACTTCATACTAATTTTGGTTGGGTCATTACAGGCAGCTACCATTTCAGTAGTGATGCTTACACCCACGCACTAGCACATCAAGCTCACGAGGATCTGGACTCTTTAGTTCGAACGATCATGGATAAGGAACAAGTTAAACCAAGTAACGCTACCATCGATGCTAGTGAGCACGCTGAGAAATACTTCGTTCATACGCACACCCGCAGAAACGATGGCGTGTACATCGTCCAACATCAGAGAAAGGATTGTGCTCCGCCGATGGGGCCCACATTGCCGTAAGCTCTAACTCTTGCTATTTCCAGTATATCGTGTTGGTCCGACTCAGAAATTGGACTGCATTGGCTCTCATCACCCCCACGGACCTGGAACACTTAGTTTGGCAATCGCACTGCTGGGATTCTGGAAGCTTGCCCACGTAGCTGCTGGCAACACATTCGCACTGAGGACAATGCCGTGCATCACGCGGACTTCTACCAAAGGATCTGGTAGAACATCAACTGGGGTGGAATGGACCACCGTGGCTTTCCCAATCACATCGCACTTGGCCACCTGCTAACACAAAGTTCGCGCATAGCTGTGTTGGTATTGCTCGTGTCCAAAACATAGATCTAATGTTATCACACGTATAGCTAAAGCCCGCAGCTGCACACGCATACAACGATGTGTACCGTTTTTCATTGTACCGTCGCATCGCCTGATCTTTCAATTTAAAATTTAAAAAATTACAGATTTTTTGTTAAAAGATGTAGAAGGTTTTCAATTATACCGTAACCCGTATCAAGGTGTTTGGTGTATCAAAAAGATAAAACAATGGATAGGTAACAGAAAAAAAGCTAATATATATATAAGAAAAAAATGTAATACTAAATATAACGAAGGGGAACGTTGGTACATTAATACCCGATACTTAGTCAGTATGGCTCTCCTTCGGCAGACGCCGCTAATATTGAACGACACGACAAAGAGTGCGTGCGAGAAAGACAGAAAATCAGTCTGAACGTGTCGTCGGGCGCTGCGTAACCACTGCAAATAGATTTGTTCCTTTTGGCTATATAAATGATCCGATTTGATCCAGATTCGGCAATCTTGTAATATTGTCATTCTCTATCATCGTGCGTTTTTAGTTTTCTCGTATCGTCGAAATTGTGGATGCCACAGATTTTCGCCCTTTGTGGGGGCGGAAGTGGGCTGGGCAAAGTTTTGAAACATTCTTGTAACAGTGACATATCACAGAAGTCCGTATGTATAATTTCGTTGCTCTAGCTCTTGTAGTCTTTGAGCACTGGGCGCTGATAGGGACGGACAGACAGAAAGACAGACAGGGCTCAATCGACTCGGCTATTGATGCTGATCAAGAATATATATACTTTATGGGGTCGGAAACGATTCCTTCTGGACGTTACACACATCCACTTTTACCACAAATCTAATATACCACAATACTCATTTTCAGTATCGGATATAATAAACATGATAAAATCAAGAATCTGCTTATTTATTACGTCTAAGGCGGAAAAAAGTTCACCGGGTCATCTAAAAATTGTTCGCTGTAAATTACCAACATTTAATTAGGCAAATTTTTTTTGTTGCGTGGCAGAAAAACGTCTGCGCAGAGCCAGCTAGTATAATTTATAAACATCTCCCAAACCGTTCGATCGTTATTAATGCATTTTTTTGTTTGCTCAAAAATTTTTGCCCTCTGCAAATAACGATAGCAAACGATAAAATATGCTGTTTAAATTGCATAAATTATAAGATCACATATATTCTGACTGATTACCGGGTAAATAAGGCCGCGGACTGTGCCTTAAGGACATGATTATATACATGAGGCAAACGCGCTAGTGATTTAAGGATCTGATGGTTTGCTTCAAGCAGCGGTACAATCGGCTCTTAGCCATTCAGTATCAATTTAGGGGTTTGAATGAGTCTAGGCGCAAAAAGGTAGCTCCGCAAGATCTGCAACAGCTGCTGGTGATGCAAATGCGGCAGCCGAATTTATCACATCGGATAGCATGCAGCCAGAAACGTCAGTAGCGTCCGTGTCCGTCGAGTCCGCAAATTCAGACTTCCCGGACCACCGGATATTGCCATCACAGGAACCAGGCCTGTGGTGCCAAAACCACTGTTGGGTATCCCACCATGGCTAGCCTAATCTAGACTTCACATCTAAGGATGTAACTGCATTTATATAAACGAAAACAAAAGCCGTCGGCTTAAATGTGGAGAAATTTAACTTCTCTAAGGACAGGGAGATAGCCAGCCTCCCTTAAGATAAGCGTCTACCAATTCAATTCGTTACCATTTGTTGAAACAAATTTTGGCCAGATCATTTGGTTGTAATAGAATACAAGGCTAAGAAGAAGAGGCCCCCCATAGCTCTCTCAAATCAAAATCAGAGCAATGTTTCATCCTCATCTTCCCGTCCTAATACTACTGACTTCTACTACTACTAACTTTTTTTTTAGCAACCTATCAGAGTGTTGGGGGCTTACGCAGTAAGCTTGGAACTCTCTACCGGGATAGTGTCAGCCAAATTTGAGGTTAGGCACAAGCTAAATTGTCCTGGCAATGGTGTCAAATTTACGTTAATGCATCAATAAGTTATATATTTTTCCTCCTGCAATTATTTCGCTTTGTTGTATAAAAAGCCGTTTTCTTTTAATTTCGTCGAGGAAACGAAGAAATCTTGCGGAATATGAAAACGGATAAATATGTGTTACAGGGTCAAGCTCAGTGTTAGCCTCGCTAAAACATAGAATCTTGTGGGAATACATTTTTGACTTATTCATATAAAGATTAATAAATAGTTCATGAAAAATAGTAAAAAAAAAAAAAACATGTATGACTGTATCAAGAAAATCTTATGGGTAACTTAAGCAAAAAGAGGATTATATGTATATTATTTTAATCGGGATAGTTTTGGTGGTCAATTGTTAATTATTTATTTCTCTGTTCCTAGGTTTCTGTGCCACAAACCGGTCAATTAGCACTTGATCTAATGTGTGGAGCTTATCCTGCATCACGCTGTAGTCCTTCAAAGTGGTTTAATTATATGGGAGATGTAAACAACATATATGTTCCATTTCAAATAACATATATTCAACACCCAACAAATGCTTCAATAAATGGAACTGTGCCATTAAACCCACACACTTTTCCCTGTAACAAAGCGATAAATGTAAGTTGTATTATTACACAGAACCCCACGTCTACCTAATTATGCAGTCATGAGTATTGCGAGTAGTAAGTATACGCGCAAAAACTACTTTTTAGTCTACAGCTGCTTTAAGAGCTAGGTGATGAAAAATCTCCATTAAAATCTCCATTTTATCAGATACAGTATGAACATTTTTATAAGAGTGGCTAAGTTTTATAGCAACTATAAGGAGAACTGTCGTTCGGAATTATTCACCTTGTTTTAAGTTTTATAAGATCTATTGGAGGAACTGTCCTTCGGAATCCTTTACATTTACTAGCCATCCAAACACTGCCTGAAATTGTTGCTCGTACAAATAACTTGTGTAAGTGTTTGAGTCTGTGTACGACTATTAACAGCTCTCTTCGATTAGAAAAGTCGATTTTTTTGCCTTCGACAATTACCTCCAATTACTTTTATGTAGATTAATTGAAACATGCGAATCCGTAAACAAATCTGTGCTAATTTGTGTATCAGGAGGGCGTACTTACTTTTTCACTTACTTTTGCGTTTTACGTTTTCAACCACAACGGTTTGTTTTAATTTTAAGCACTACCCGTTTCTGAAAATTTTTGTCATCATCAATTGCACAACTTTGCTGTATAAATTTGGCGACCTATTCAACCATGTGGTAGTCCCAAAACATTTGTAGTTCGAGTTTATTTTGTGGACGAGGCCAATTCCAAACTGCAGCAATCATTTTCTTATCTAACTTTCTACTTATCTACATATATACATACAGTGCCGCTCAACTGAATAGGTACAATAATTTTCAAAAGACAAACCGCTTTATCTTTTTAACCAACTTACCGATTTATATGAAACCATTTTTTTTTTATAGATTTATTCATTGTAAATATAGCAAGAAAGTTTGTGGTATCCCGGACACGTTTTTAAAGGCTATTTATTAATTTTTTCAAAAACATTACAAACGAGGGGGAACGTTGTGAGTTGCTGCGGACACCGCAACTCTACAGTTATACCCGATACTAAGTCAGTATGGCTTTCCTCCGGCAGACGCCGCTAATATTTAACGACACGACAAAGAGTGCGTGCGAGAGAGACAGAAAATCAGTCTGAGCGTGACGTCGGGCGCTGCGTAGCCACTGCAAATTGATTTGTTCCTTTTGGCTACAAAAATTATCTGATCTGATCCAGATTCAGCAATCTGATAGATATGGTCGTTATCTATGATTCCCCGTTTTTAGTTTTCTCGAATCTGCAATATTGTGGATGCAACAGATTTTCGTCCTTTGTGTGGGCGGAAGGGGGTGGGGCGAAATTTTGAGATACACGTTTTATAGTGAGATCTAAGAGAAGTGCGGATTCCAAATTTCGTTACTCTAGCGTTAATAGTCTTTGAGATTTGTGAATATCCCCAGATTTGCATCCTTTGCGGGGGCGGAAGGGGGTGTGGCGAAATTTTGAAACAAACTCGTCTCGGTCTGATATATTAGGAGTGTGGATACCAAATTTGGTTGCTCTAGCTTTTATAGTCTCTGAGATCTAGGCGCTAATGTTTTACTCTAAGCAAAGCCGCCTATGCTACCTGTGTGTTAGAGAGAGACAGGGCGAGAAAAAATGAAATTGTTTTCTTGATGCTGGCTATAATAGTAATACGATCCAATTCAGATTCTGCAGTCTAAAAGATATGGTCATTTTCTACGATTCTGCGTTTTTTGTTTTCTCGTATCTTTAAAATTGTGGATGCCACAGATTTTCGCCCTTTGTGGGGGCGGAAGTGGGCGGGGCAAAGTTTTGAAATATTTTTGTAGCAGTGACATATCACAGAAGTCTGGATCCAAAACATCGTTGCTCTAGCTCTTATAGTCTTTGAGCATTAGGCGCTGAAGGGGACGGACAGACGGACAGACGGACAGACGGACAGACGGACGGACGGACAGACAGACAGGGCTCAATCGACTCGGCTATTGATGCTGATCAAGAATATATATACTTTATAGGGTCGGAAACGATTCCTTCTGGACGTTACACACATCCACTTTTACCACAAATCTAATATACCCCAATACTCATTTTGAGTATCGGGTATAAAAATGCCTATTTATTCTAGCTCAACTGAATAGGTTCAGGAATTAAAAAATTCAAAAAGCACATCTTTGGCTGTTTCTAACATACAAAAATAACCATGAAGTATAAGTTAGTATTTGGAAGTCCCACCTTGGTGTTATATTACTGCATATATTCGATCTGTTAAGGACTTGTAAAAATGTTCTGATTTAATGGCGTCAATTAGGGTCTCAGTGTCATGAAATTGCCTTCCGCCCTCATATACTTTTCGAGACAATAGCCCCCCACAAAACGGTCAAGGTCCGATATCACAGGAGTGTGGATGCCAAATTTTATTGTTTTCATCATTCTGGCTATAATAATGATACGATCTGGTTCAGATTCTGCAGTCCAGAAAATATCGATCATTCTCATTTGATTCTGCGTTTTTGGCTTTCTCGTATCTTTAAAATTGTGGATGCCACAGATTTTCGTCCTTTGTGGGCCCGATGTTTTGAAAAACACTTGTTACAGGGACATATCACAGAAGTCTGGATACAAAATGTCGTTGCTCTAGCTCTTATAGGACATTGGTCCTATGGACTATGGACTTACGCCAAAACTACCACTTTACGTTCATCATGCAAAACATGTGCCCCCGATGTCTCCTCCTCTTCGCTCTTCCTCTGGCGGACTCTGCTTGGGCAATGTTATTTCAAGTCACCGCGGTGTTATCATGGTCGTTGGAAGAGCTCTTATTCTCCCCATTCTGTGCGCAAAGGTCCCGATAGTACCTTGTAAATGGAGTAGTGAGTGTTGATCACCTTTGTATTGTTTACATGGGGACTTACACTTGTTGCTCAAGTAACCGCATTTCAAACAGTTATAGCAGAGATATTTAGCTTTTACAAAAGATGGCCTTTGCAAACCTGTCCTAAACCTAAAAATAATGGACAACCATGCAGAATCTGTTCTCTCGAATTGCTGCCTTCAACTGCAACCATCGAATGAGAACTTTTCGGATTTGTTCCCTTAAGTTAATGTTTTCCCTACAGACGCAAGCTCCCATTTGCTTTTTTTTTAATTCTTTGAGAAAGTCGTCGCATCAATTTACGTAATTATGGGCAGTACATATGCTCATCATTAAAGCTTTACAGATCGGCTGGGACCATGGAAGGATTGGAATTTTTGCTCAAAGCTGAGTTAACGCATTGAACGTTGAAGACATGTCTGAGCCGTATTCGCTGAGTTCATCGAAGTCAGCAGGCCCGTTGACGATGATAAGGCTAAAGACGGATTTATCTTGTGGGTACAACAATCTCAAAGCAGCACCGGGTGGCGGCTCCGTTATCATGATCAATTCGTAAGTCTAGCAGTGGAATTACACTAACAAACAAAATAAGCAAAGGGTTTACGGGAACTCTAAGGAAGGACACTCTGGTACATATCTGTAAGACCAAGTTTTAGCATAACATTCGTACGTACCTTCTCTTTACGGTATATTTTGACGTTGACATGCAATGACTGCATCTTTCAAGAGGCGATGCAGTTACTGCACCGTCAAGTGGCCCGTGTGACACCAGCAGCTGTTACGCGCGGATCCCAGGCAAAACGCAGCCCTCCTCCCGCCCAACCGACCGAGGGGCGCTGCCGCATGACGCGCGGTGCGTAGCTGAACCAAACGCGAACATGCAAGAAAGATAGCTATTAGACTAACAATCGAGGAAAATTAGCACTAAACTTACTAAGAAACTAATCATGCAATCAAAATACAAATACCACTACAGTTACTAATTAATAGAAAGGTGTGTAAGGATTAATAATTTAATAAGAGGAAGAGAATTAGTGTTGGTAGAGGGAATTATAATCCGAGCATAAGACCCTAAACGGTTCATGCAAGGAATAATTCGATCTACAAAGTGGAAGGAACAACGGTATAAAATTTCTAGTCAGTCTAATAGGAATCGTGAAGTTTATGCGGCTCAACAGATCAGGGCTGTCTATGTCACCCCTGATCAAGTTGTGCATAAATATCACACCAAGCATTTATCAACGGGTAATTAAGGATGGGAGGTTTACTAAAAGTAGTCTACTAGAGTAAAATGGGAGTCTTACACCCGCATCCCAGTTAAGGCCCAGCAGAGCAAAGAGTAAAAAGTTTTTCTGTACTGATTCTATACGGTCCTGGTGTACTTTGTACTGAGGGCACCATACACAGGAGCCGTATTCTAAGATCGGACGAACAAGCGAGAAATAGAGAGTCTTTGTTATATAGGGGTCGTCAAATTCCTTTGACCACCTCTTTATAAACCCAAGCACTCCCATGGCCTTATTTACCATGGTAGAAATGTGTTCGGAAAACTTTAACTTGGGGTCCAACAAAACACCCAGATCATCCACCAGGGTAATTCTCTCAAGAGAACCCCCAAATAGGGTGTAGGGAGCCAACAAAGGGCTAAAACGATGAAATGTCATAACTTTGCATTTCGAGGCATTAAGGTGTAACAAGTTTGCACAACACCATGACTGAAAGCTATTGAGATCGGATTGCAAACGAGAATGAAATGAAATGTCCTTGTACTGGACACAGAGTTTAACATCATTGCTGCATTGCTGCGATACATTGCTGCAGGATAGTCAAGTCGTGGCTTAACCAAGAGGGAATCAATGTTTTGTAATGGTCTCCGCAGAGTTCCGACTAGAACCCTATAGAGAACTTGTGGGGAATTCTAAACCAAGTCGTTGCGCAAAAAAAACAGCAATTAAAAGGATTTGTGCCGAATTTTACAGGAAGAATGGATGAAAATCACCCCTCATCAGTGCGCACGTCCTGTAGATTCAATACCAAGGCGTTGCTCCATTTTTCTTAAGCAGAAAGGTCATCCTACTAAATATTAAAGTAGTTTTATTAAAAATACTAGGAATAGTGGGCAAATTTGAACTTTTTTAACCATTTTTTTTTGAGGTGGCTT